TTCCCTTATGACAGGTTCGACTGTATTTAAAATCGTAGTCTTCAAAGTCACAAGTTTTGGAGAAAGGAAAATAACGTCTCATATTGTCCTTCATTTCGTCAAGGCAAAGTTAATTTCCCCAAATGCTGGCAAGTCAGTGTTCTTTAATAAACAACAGCATTAAAACCGAAGGTTTTCTTCACTTCATAATCCTCCCAAGGTCGGCAGCATAAAGGGGGTTTAACTGTATAAAAAATATATTTCTGCAATGCACGCAAACATGCACTTTGTGATACTATTTGAAGACTACAGGATAACCACCCCCCCCCCCGGCAGTGTCACATTTTAATTATTTTCAGTTAGATCCCTCTGATAACTCATAACACTTTAGTTTAATATAACATATTAAAAGGAGGGAAAAAAACCCAGAAGGGTGCAAGTGAAAAATTAACGGACAAAATAAGTATCATTCTTTAGATACGAAGTTCCCAACTTTAAAAACAAATAATTCTCAAAATAACCAAAATGCAACTCTACCCCTCCCCCACGTAGTCTTCATTTATTCTTTATGTACACAGTTCGGTGTGATTCATGACACCCCCTCCACCCCCCACAGGCAATCACACGACGTAACACATACACACAACAACATAACGCATGTTAAAAACATTGCTTTCACATAATGATGTTCACAACAAGAATAAGTCAATGCTGTTGGGCACAAAGCAACTCAGGGAGTTTAAAAATCAAAAAGAAAAAAATTTAAAATTTCTATCTTACAACCTTTACATTTGAAAAATACTGCCCCTCATTATGATTAGACAATACACTTACCGGTAGGAGAAAAAAAACAAAAAAACAAAAAACAAAAAAAACACCACAAACTGAAGTACTGATAGCTCTCAACTTCCACGGAGAGTGGAAATCAAGTGAGAAAGCCAGAGTTCTCCTCTCTTCTGGGAAGAAACTTCCCTACATTTATTTTTATCTAATTGCTTGCTTAATGCCCCCATCAACACAGTTAAAACCATTTACGAGGCAGGCTGCTTCCACCCTGCCACTCAGGACAAACCCTGATCGAGTGGGAGGCACAAGATCTCAGCAGACAGACGGAGATACTCCATTAAAAACTTCCCCACTCAAGAATCGCACTCAACAGTTTTTTGTACAGAGCTGTGAAAACCTCCACCATCGCACCACAGATGCCATTTTCCCAGACTTATAAACTGTGCACGACTGACCTTTTTATCAACCAGAACATAATCTTAGAAACAAAGAAATCGTACACTGAGTCAATTTAAGGCTTAAAAAAACACCCCCCCCCCAAAAAAAAAGAAGGGGGGAACCCTGTTAATTCAAATCTTTCCATCATTATCTTTGCTCTTCCCCCC